CCCCAAAACCCCAAAACCCCAAAACCCCTAAAAGATCTACTCAAGTTGAATTAAGTGGCATTGGCTACATCTTCACGACAGATTGGACATGAAACAGAGTTTTGCAACCAGCCAGTCAGACAAATTTGGTGGAAAGAGTGCAATCATGGGTGAAGCTGTATGGGCTTCGATATACGCTCATCAAAGCTGTTGTTAAAGCATTGGTTTCGTGAGTCAGTTTTATCTGCTTTATTTGGGATTTTTACAAACACTACTTGGTTCTTGACAGTTGTTTCTGAAATGTTGAATATCAATGCAGGTCTTTGAGAATTGGTGTCAGATTTTGAGATTGGTCATGAGCTGGCTGATTCCAACAAGTGTTTTATATCTTGGGCATCCACTGATTCGTTTATTGGAGCCATTCAGATTCAACAAGTTTCATGCTCATTAAAAGCTGGGTTATCACTTATATGAACTACAATGGTGTGAGGTCCACCTTCATTGTGATGACTATTGGCATCCTGTTCACCTCCAGAATCATCGCTTTGTTCATTACCAAGTCTGATGTAGCCAGTTGCCATCAGTTTGTAAATAATTATGGATACAATGATGATTCAGACGATCATTCCGATGACAAATGATAGAGCTGTTATAAGAATGCTTGGCTGCTTCTTTGTCTCAGACTTGGAGCTACCAACATCTGCATTTTGTGCATACATTGTTGAGCTACTTCCGGATCCTCAGTCTTGTATTACATGGTAAAGTTGAGCTGGCAGTTTGCAAATGTAGCTTTATGTATCTTTAATAAGTCAGAAGTTGAGTAATTTGCAAAGACCAAGAACCCATTATACAGACAAGCAGAAGTGCTTCGTTCAATGATAGGATCAATCACAGGATCCTGTCTGATTTCAAAGTCAGTGTCTTGCTTCATTTTTGCATGGAGTTTGAGACTACTTCCATCTGAGAATTGCACGAAAGCCATCATGTACTGCTGAGTGTAACAATATGCTGAAAACTCTGAGATTTCTTTGTGAAATGTGTGGGAATAAAACTGAGAAGAGTTGTGGATCTGCATCATCACTAGTTCAGTCTTGCCTTTGTAGTGATTGATCACTGAGACATAGTCAGTGAACCAGTGATGATCTCTGGCTCTGACTATCTCTGATCTGATTGGTTCAGTCTGCTCTCTGGACATCAACTCGTATCCTGGAAGATGAGTCCTGAATGTATGGGCAGTGATCTTCAGAGTCATGATCTGTCCTTTGTTGTTGATCAGTATTCAATAGAGCATGTTCTCAGTCTTGCTTTTGAAATTTGAAAACACTGACAAAGCTTTGACTTTGCTGATGTTGATGTCAACTTTCTTGAGTTTCGACACAACAAGTTCAGAGTGAGATGTACCTCTGAACTGCACAACAACAATTTGGTCTTTGAACGATTCACAAGAGAGAACCAACATCAGAGTATTATTTTGCAGTACTTTAGCCATTGGGATCTGCAGCTTCAGAATGCTGTCTGAGTTGTTTTGACCATGAGCTGGTTGAAGTTCTGACGAATTGCGTTCATTAAGCGGCTCAAAGTCTATATAATTACTAGAGCTAGGTTTACCTTTAGAGAACTGCAAGAAGTCTACATTTCCACGATGAAAGGTTATGCAATCTTCCACAGTGCTCTGTTTGCAGTCTCAAATGAGATGATCTCAAAATCAAAAGCAGTGACTGAAATGTTGTTTTGAGTAGTAACCAAAACTTTATCCTCAGTGAAATCAACTTGTGTGTTGCTTTCAAAAAATTTTGCTAAAATAAGGCCATTTATACTATCAAAGGAGGCACTTTGCATTTGATTGGCGAGGAAAGAAGGATCCCACAAATACATTGTCTTCATATTATTTGTATCACGACAGAGTTTGGATATGTACTTCTTTTGGATAACGAGTTCTCACTGGTGGTTGATGAGAGTTTTTCCTCTAGCAAGAGCAAGGACCACGTGGATTAAGATCATAATCAAGTAATTTTGTAATTTCATTTTATTATTTATGAATCTTTTTCACTTAGTCTAATTTATAAGGGGTTTTGGGGTTTTGGGGTTTTGGGGTTTTGGGG